TCTTTCCCTATATTATCTATCATGAAATCCAAACCTAAGGTCAAGACTTCTTGCATACTCCTTGGTAAACCTCCAAATCCTTAATTTTTTCTAGATCATTTGGAGAAAAATTCCAAATACACTTGAGGTGTTATTCTTTAGTATCTCATAAGTTCTTTATAAAGAGAACAGGTTTAATTCTTTTAATTGTTTCTTCTTGAAAATCTAAATAAACTTACATAAAAGGTATTTTATGGATATTGCCTTGCTAATAATGCTAGGGGGAGGAATCTTAGTATAATTATAAGGTTGTTCTTTTGTGACTAGGAGACTAGGATTTAAGTTATGTTTATAGCTTTTCTGTATTTAGAGATAAGGTGATACATCTTTTTCTACCTTACTAATTCTAGAGAAGACATCCATGATGATGATCACCTTTTGAGTTAGAAAGAGAGAAGAGAAAGACAGTAAGAACTACCAGAAATATAAAGTTGGCACAAGGAAGAAACAAACCCTGAAGACGGTGACTGTAGGTGACGTGCATTCAAGTTGATGATAATGTATCTCCATGACCGCCGCTGGATATGCAATGAGCAATGCATATTAGTTGGAACACGATGAAAAAGTTCTCAAGCTCTAACATGCAGAAGAGTACTAATATTTTGCTTTCTGTTGGATTCCTCTTGAAATGTTCTGATCTTTCAAGAAGGAAAACAAACAGATTTTTCTTTGAAAGAATGATTATTTAGACCACATGACAAGGAATGGGGTGATTTTCATGAAATTTTCTTTTGCTTTTTTTTTTTTTTTTTGAAAGGTGTCTTATGTTTTTCTCAAATGATACCATCTATCTAAAAAAACAAAAAAAAATTCAAAAATCAAAAATATCCTCACTAGTCCAATTTGATACTTTTTACGATAGTTTTAGCGACACCCTCTAGATCGGTCCATAAAGTATGATATGCAATTTCGAATGGTATCGTCCAGTACGAGAGGTACGTATCGGTCCTACGGTATACCGATACGCGGACCGTCCGCTACCGGACGGACCGTGCTATAGTAATACACTATGGTAGTGTTATAGTGCTACAGTCAGAGGAAATCGCTCGGTAAACCCTGATGTACCGTTCGATATGCCCTGGTGTATCGCTTAATACGTTGGTATCATACCGTGCTGAGCTAACCTTGAAACACCGGTACGGTACGGTAGTACATACCTTACCATAAAATGCACGGTTCAAATGGATGAATCGTTGCAATATTCTAATTGAGTTGATTTACTATATTTCCTAATAGCAATAGTGTTTTTGTCGTGGTGTTGAAAACATTATAAAACTATTGAAAGGCATCCTAAATAATATCATGTGACTCTTTAGTTATCATTACTTATAGATAATTATAATATAATATTTTAAAGCTCGCAGTTAATTTGGTTGAGGTTAAGAATTCATTTGCCTCATTTATGATTCTTATTTGGGTAATGCTGTTTTTAGATTATTATAAATACCTACTTAAATACTACCATAGTATGATATATCAAACGGTTTATGGTATGTCCTAATTTTATTTGACTTTCTTATAGTGTTTTCCAAAACGTTATAGTGTTTTTATTTAAGTGCTAAAAATACTATAAAACTATTAAAAAAATATTGTAAGAAACATTGATGCTTAGTTGCATTGATAGCTAAAACAAAATGTTTTAACTATGTGAGGTTGACTACATTGATGCTTAGTTGTTACTGAGCTCCTTAGAAAATTATTTTCCTAGTTAAATCAAAAGTGATCAAATGTTTATTTATAATTTTTAGTAAAATATTTTATCTCTCTCTCTCTCTCTCTCTCTCTCTCTCTCTCTCATCATACTGTTTATTGTTTATATTAATTATTTCACAACTATAAATATTTATAGATTTTCTTTACATATATATATATATATATATATATATATATATATATATATATATATATATATATATATGCATAATCATCATAAATAGTACATTCTCATTTGGTCCTCAATCAAACCTACCCATAATTATTCATGAATAAAATATTATATTTCATAAATTAAATTAAGAATTATGAATTATGACAATCTTGCACATGTGATCCTAAGTTGGGAAGAAGGCATAGGGAATGGCATTGGCAAGGTGTCTTCACATGGAAAGTTATTGAACAAGTGGAGTTGAGCTTTTGGGGAGATGGGGAGAAATCCCACCCCACCAAGTGTTCCTCGTGGAGAGAAAGGAAGTTTGGACAGAAGGAGACAAGACATGATGGGCAATTAAATTATTAAATAAGGAAGACTAAGACCATTGTCTTGTGGTGCTCCTGGGTGACTGGAATGTGTACTGGCTTACCCACACTTAAACTAGATTTACTAATAAGTGGGAGCTCCACATCGCTTGTTGATAGCAATAGAACAACAAGCTTTAGTAGGTGGTGTTCTCCTTTCCATCTGCAGAAGTTTCTGAGTTGGATGGTGGGGGGTTATATTTCCTGAGTGTTGGGCATGATTAGTGCTGTCTAGTTGAGGATCACCAAGCACCTTTGTCTTTTTTTTTTTCTTTTTGTTCATCATGAACAATGGATGATAAAGAAGGAAAATGCAATGATGAGGTTTTGCAGGAGTAGTTGTTTATTTACCTTTGATCTGTTGGGAATAAACTATTTGGCTTTGTGGTCATCAGCATGCTGATCAGCTGGTGATGCTTTGGGATTTTTACCTGCAGAAGTTTCATTAGCTTTGCAATGTTGGTGATCATGGAGCTTGAGATGGAGATGTGGATAACCAACAGCACTAACCTTGAGTTCCGTGATCATGTTGTTCTTCGAGTGTAATCATCTGCACTCCTGTGATGGCTCATCTGCTAAAGAACAAAGAATTCAGAACTTTCAACCGGTGCAATAGCTGAACCATTTAAATGAATAGAATTCAGAACTTTAAAGGCATCATTCAGGAAATCTTCCACAAAACAACTGAGTTTATCAACTCTATTTCTGGTCCAAAGTAATCTGATGACATGTTTAGTACCAATCAACAAGGTTTCTATGAAATGCTTGTTTCTTCTTAGGGTAAGCAAAGTGCATGTGCATGTGTATCTGAAATAATCACATTAACATGATGATAAAGAGTAATTAGCAACAAATCCATCCATAGATTTAGTAGCTAATAAAGTGTTTTCTTGCATTATAATACAGCAAGAGATGACAAGTTAATAGTGATGGAGTAAACCACTGCTTAGAGAACAAGACAATCACAATAATGTCACATATAATAAGCTGAAAAGATCCATGATAGTCTTTATTGGTGCGAGCTCTTAGGACAAGAGTCACACGGCCTTGTCATTTCAGGATAGACCTCGATGGGTGTGAGAAGACACATTTGGCTTTGCATTAGGCATTGGTTCTTCAACTCTCCAACCAATATGCGATTAGATAAGAGTCTTACCAGAGTTTATTACTGGGGAGTCAAGTTCTTTTGGGCTCTACGATGGATGTCATTTGATAAGATCCACATCAATCTTCATCGATGTGAGCTCTCAAAACCATAAGGAAATTGTTCGCTCTCGTTATCTTGGCAAATCCTTGCCTTAGTTTTCCAATTCTCCAATAGTCTCAGGAAGCTTTTACGTAGCAACTGGTTTCTCCACTGAGATCCTGCACAGATCGGGTAACATTAGGTTTAGCTTGCCATGTCTATCAGCCGAAGTTGAGCAGTCTCACAAATGGAAGCGATTGAAAGACTGAAGAAAATTCACCTGACACCTGCAGTGCTAACCCAACCTGATCACAAGGACAAGCAGAGCTTTGTAATGTACCTGGAAAGGGATCTTTACCTAATTAAAGTAGATGAAAACAAGGTTGTCATGTTGTCATTCCCCTCCCACATGTTTTCCCAAGTCCTAATGCTCTGGGAAACTGTTAGTGTTGGGTCATGTTGTCATCCCCTCCCCCCACCCCCATCCCATGGCCTATAAAAGCCGGGGGCTCACTCGCATGAGTGCGTCAAAACATCAAACACACTACGGGCATGGAGCGAAGAACAGCTCTTTGCGTCGCGGCCATGGTTCTTCTTGTCCTGTCTGCACTTAGTGCAACGGGAACAAGACTCCTCCTCGCCGAAGAAGCAGACACTACTGGCACTGCCGTCGCCCAGCGAGATGAGATGCAAGGCTCCCTTCCGAAGAAGCGCATGGTTCCGTCAGGTCCAAACCCAGGGACATTAGAGATGCATGGAGGCGAGCAGATCGATGGCCTGGCTGAGCCTCCGCCATCACCGCGGCGTCTCAACTGAAGCAGGCAGACAGCCAAGAAGCTACCAGTCCTTGTGTGGTTTAGCTAAACAAGAATAAGAGCTTACAGCTTGGTGTGGATCATATAATTTACCTTCTCCCACTTGTTAGGAGTGGCTGCTGCTGCTGCTGCATGTTGATGTGGGTAACTACTGTGTGCTATATATCTCCCACTTCTTCAACTGTGGACGTACTACATCTCAGTACCAACTACCGTGTGCAATCTTCGATAACCGTTAACGGTCTGAAGAATATTATAATGGGAGTGTCTCTCCATATATTTCTAATTATAAAATACTTTGTTCTCATCTCGAGTACTTATTTGACTTGAGTATCGAAAACGTTTCAATATATTATGACGTGTGTGTATATATATATATAT